GGACCGTATTTATAGAGAGAAAGAAGAGGGAGAAGAAACGGTCCACCCTCAATATCTCTTTGCAACGGTAAGAATTTTGAATGGCACCTGTTTCGAAACGGCCCTACGCAGCAGTTAAGGGAATCAGAGGGACCGGTCAAAAGGGGTTCGGAAAAATGGGCCATGGGTATTTAAGTGGCGCAGACTTCCAGGCGGTCCACACTGGCAATTCCCCAGGTCTGCGGCCCTCTGTTGTCACCCCTTTTTCCTGCTATGGTCAGCCATTATTAAGGTGACGTGGGCCATTGGCACCCCAGGCAGTGATTGGAGAGATATGCGGCACCACGATCCAAGGAGTGTGTGACCAAAAGACAGTCCAGTCGGCCAATTATTCATCCAAGGCCCGTGGCCCGCAAAGATGCGCTACAGAAAACATCCGCGGTAAATACAAAGTGAATGATGGGGTTTTCCCCAAAAAGAGGATCTTCGTCAAAAAAAAATTAGGGTGGGAGGAGAAACTTCCTAATAGAGCATGCGAGAAAGACTACAGCGAGAAAGACTACAGTCAAAAAATCTTTTATTTTTTGACTTGTAAAAAAAGGGGCATGTGATGGGAACCAAGCCCATCGTGAAAATACTAGCGAATTGGGCCTAGGCCTAATTTAGATTCCGTCCATCAAAAGGAGTGTCCAACCCAGAGAAAATATATTGGGCCAGTCAAGGGAAGTTATCCGTGAGGAAAGATAGGAAAAAGGAAAAGGATTGGGGGCTTAAGAATGGGCTGAAGCCCAGCCCACTAAGAATAAGCTACCCCAAAGGAAAGAAATCGTATGGAAGAGTCTAGAGCAGCCCCCCCTAATTGAAGGGACAAGGACAAGGGGAAAGGGACGGACAGGGAGCAAGAGATGGACGGACAGGCTTGTCCTCCAGTGGACGGCCTCAAGCTGAGATACATCCCCCAAGATGGAGGAAGGCTGGCACGAATATTCCCCCAATCACTGCCATTATTGAAGAGGATAATGGATGGGGAGTGCCTATAAAAGAAAGAGGGACTTAGGGAATGGAGGATATTTTGTAATGAGGAGAGAAAATACGTGAGTAAATAATAAAAGATATTCTGGCGATCCTCAAGCATATTCCGTTCCTGAGAGGACCGAATAAAGGAGAGGACCGCCGATTTGAGTTATTATCTAGTGAGCAGTGCTTCTATTACTATTAATTATTATTCTCGTATTATCTTTCAATATTATAAGGCCCGGATACCTATATTTGGACCTAGGCCGATCTACAATCCTTGGGAAAATATTGGGTATCCATCATGATGTGTTTTTTATTTCACGAATGGAAGTAGTATTTGATATATACTCCCTCCGTCCTATAATGTTCTTCCCGGTTCTGTTTACGAAGTTTGACCGACTTTATTTTTAATTCAATTTATTTGATTGTAGGTGTAAAATTAAAAAATAAAATTTATATATTTAAAAAGTACATCAAAAGTTCTACAAAACAAGTGGTGACAAGACTATATTATTTTATCAAATACCTAATGAAAATAGGTAAAGAAAGTGATTAAAGTTTGACCGTGTGAATAGTAAGTGGGAAGAATATTTCAGGACGGAGGGAGTATCATTTAGTGGTATGGGAATTTTTCTAAATATTTTAAATGCATATAAGTTGTTTTATACTACCTCCGTCCCATTTTATAACGCCTGTTTCGGTTTACGATGTTTGCCTGAAATTATTTTCAAACCATTTTATATGACAAATGGTATAGAATAAAAAAATAAAAATTACATATTAAAAAACTACATCAAAAGATCTACAAAACTAGTAGTGATAATAATATTTTATTTTATCAAATTTCTAACGAAAATAGAGAAAGAAAGTGAATGAAGTTTAACTCTGTGAATAGTAAACAGACATTATAATTTGGGACGGAGGGAGTAGAAATTTAATCGATTTAAATTTGACATGCATATTCACTTTGAGTATAACTATCATTTGAAGTTTTCCGAGCATGGCTATTGTCAAAGACATTATTGTCCATCGATGTCACGATGACAATTCTAAATGAGAGATATCAAGTTTGAATAATCCCATATACCCAATGTCTTTGCAAATATAATACCATTTGCTACAACAACAATAACTCGATTAAATCTTACGAGAATAGGGTTTGAGGAAGACATGTGTACGCAGGCTTTGCCCCTGGCCTATTCAAAAACAGAGATGTTGGTCCTAACAGACTCGACTTATCGAGCAGACATAGCAAAAAGTACATAAAGACAAAGAACAAATTAATAACAAGGCAAAACACAGCTAGCAGAGAGCACTAAGGATACAAAGTTTACAAAGCACAGAAACTATCACATACTTAGCCCAAAACACGTATAGTCTCCAAATGCTCTTATTTAAAGTCATATCTTGAGTATTAAACTTTGTTGATTCATACTATATTGCAAACTACTCCATCTGGTTTATAGAAAATCTACATTTCGTTTTTCTTTGGTTTTAAAATAAGATTCCACAATTCTTTTAAAACTTACAGAGTGAATTTCTTAGTTGACATGTTTTACTTTTTCCCCAAACAAAACTCGACCATATAACTTTATTTTTTAACACCAAGGTTCAAGTGACATTGAACCTTGCCCATTTTTTAAATACTCCTTACATTTCGACTTATCTTCTGGTATCTCATCATCATTTTTTATTTATGTGTTTTTTTAAATACTACGTATTTATGTGTTTTCATTAATTATGCAATATTTGATAAAATAAAATATTATTGTCACATCTTATTTTATACTCCCTCTGTCCTTAAATAAAGTTTCTCTTTTGTTTTTTCTTTGTCTCTAAATAAACTTCTCTTTTACTTTAAAAAACCTCTTTTACCCCTTACTTTTTCATACCCTACCTATCACATCATACCTTTTTACTAATAATCTACCTATCACATCTTACTTTAACACATCACATCAAGGGTATTTTTGGAAAGTCAATACCAAAATATCCCTCCCTTAAATCTTCAAAAAGTCAAAAATGGAACTTTATTTAGGGACGGAGGGAGTAGAAGTTTTAATAATTTATGTTTTTAATTTTATAATAACTTGTTAATAAAAGGAGTTTAAAAGAATTGAAATTTTACACATTTTTCGAAGTGAAAAAGATTTGTATGAGGAAGAGATGAAATGAATCTTGTTTAATTGCAGGGTACAGAACCTTATTTGGAGAGCAATTATTCAGGCTACTAATTTTACTCGGAAATAAACAGGCTTTAGCCCTCCTTTCCATGCACAGATTCCACACCACCTCTCCAAAATTCGTCATCTTTTCCGTCTTTTAAAGGCCCTCCTTTTCTTTCTTTTAAACTCACTTGAGATCGATTTGAAATCCCTCTTTTATAAATTTCTTGTCTTCATTATCCTCCCCTCTTTAATCGCAATTCCCCCAAAAACAAAAAAAAAATCAAGAATAGTCCAATGGCGAAGATCAATGCCCTCCGCCGTCTCTTCCTGCCGTGCTTCACCCCCGCCACCGCTAACCACCACCCGCTTCCAATCACGGTGGCCGGCGGCGCCAGGAAGAGGCTGAGCACATCCCTCCGCGACGATCTTGACGACCCGAAGCCCAAAGAGGGAAGGAAAGGCGGAACAGAGCAGGAGGAGTACTCCGACCCCGACAGCCCCACGTGTCCCCCCGCCGCCGCCTCCCTGCCGCCGCGCTCCTCCAAGACGATGGTCGTCGGCACCATTTTCGGCCACCGCCGCGGGGGCCACGTCTGGTTCTGCGTCCAGCACGACCGCCTCAACACCAGACCCTCTCTGCTCCTCGAGCTCTCCATCGCCGCCACGACGCTGACCCAAGAAATGGGCGGCGGACTCGTCAGGATCGCCCTCGAGTTCAAGATTGACTCGCCCGAGTCGGAACTCAGCCGATGCCCGCTCCACTCCATCCCGCTCTGGACCCTGTTCTGTAACGGGCGCAAACTCGGGTTCGCGGTCCGGAGGCGGCCCACGCAGCAGACCCGGCTCATGCTCAAGACAATGCAGTCAATTTCCGTTGGGGCAGGCGTGATTCCATCCGGGTTCGGGTCGGGCGTGGACGAACCGGAAGACCTCATGTACATGCGGGCCAACTACGAGTGCATAACCGGGGGAGCCGATTCCGAGTCGTTTCATTTGATCAACCCGGATGAAGGTCCGGGTCAAGAGTTCAGCATCTTCTTGCTCCGGTCTAGGTAAATCCAGGCCGAGTCTTGGCCGGAATGGGATTTCAAGAACTCTGGTTCTTGACATTTCACTGATTCACTTCCAATCTTTTTGGGTCATGGATATATCTATGGATTACCCCACCCCAAAAAAAAATCTTTTTGGAGAATATTGCTGGTAGTGCAAAATGCAAATAATTCTTTCATTCAAGTTTTTTTATTTTCGTTTTTTATTTTAGTTTTTTTCTAGGAGGGCTATACCCTACAATTACGTACCTAGCTACCCATTAATATTCTCCCTTAGAATGGTTATGATTCAGGAGAACAGATTATGTGTAACACCAACCGCTTGTTTCCAAAACATTTGACGTGTTTAATGAAATTGCCAAATTTGTCTCTTCAAGTTTTGTCGATGAAACAGTGGATTTTGAAATTATAGAGCTTGAGGACCGACGCCACACTTTTTAATGCAAAAAAAAAGAGACAATTCACTATTTAAGATTTTTTTATTTGTAAATTTTTATTGATTATTTGATAAGAAAATATTCCTATCAATTTTTATTTTCATAAACTTTTTATATAATTTTTGAATATGTAATTTTTAATTTTTTAAACATTTTTTAAATAAAATAATGTAAAAAAAACTTGAATTCTTCGATAAATATTTTGAAACGGACGAAATATTATTATTTTATTCGTTTGTTCTTTTGGCTCATGGGGCTAGTAAATGGTGATGGAAAATTCGGACAAAAATAGTTTATTTTTATGTTTTCATTAATTAGAGATGGAGGGAGTATTCAAAATTTACTTTCTATTGTTATTTTGCCTCCCTTTGGATGGGGAGTTTTGGAAGGAAAGAAAGGTGGAGAGAGAAAAATAAAAGTTTCTAAATCTTTTCTCTTATTTGTTTGCAATAGAAAATGAAGAGGAGAGGAAAGAAAAAGAGTGAAAAAAGATCTAAAAAATTTTGTCTGCACTTTTGAAGAGAAAACCATACACATGAAGAGAAAATGCATGAAATGACATGTTTGTCCTTTGCCTCTTTTCTAATTTACAAAGTACACCTTTTTTTCTTTAACCTTTTGTTACTTTATGATAGAGGCATAAATGTCTTTTGGCTTAATCATATTTTATTTCCTCCTCTCATTTTCTCTTCTTTTTTATCTATTCAAACAATAATTATTTTCTTTTCATTTTCTCTCCAATTTCTTTTCTCTCATTTTCTTACATTTTCTCTCATTTTCTTACAAAACCTTTAAGTTTTAACTCTGGTAAAAGTTGGAAAATAAAAGAATCTTTGTGGGGCAGTTTGTTTGCTTTGTAGTGAGTTGTGACAAGAAAGTATTCTTCTGAATATAATGATTGGTGAATCTCTATGTAACATACATATACCGAGCGATTACTTCTACTCCCTTCTTACTTCCTACCAAAATATACAGACTAAGCATCTACTCATCTACAAAAAAATGTCTCAAATTTTGATTACTCGCATTAATTCATTGTTTTTTTTATTTAACTTTAAACATCAACATTAATCATTTTCTTTTGCCAAAAGCGTTGCGGTCCAATGATACTAATGCAATTCTTTGAAATGAGAGTCATAAATAAATAAACTTTGATCATGTAAATAGTAAAATGTAATTTAATTAGGGATGGCTACAGTGTAAATCATTGTATTATGCCTTTCCGCCCTAAAATTATTTTCTCATTCATTATTTACAAGGTCATATTTTATTCGCTTGGTTGATCTATTTTCGTTGCCTTTTTTGATAAGATAATATATTTATGTCTTCTCTAGTTTTGTTGAACTATTGAATTGAACTTTGAACTATTGGTGTGTTATTAAATATATAAATTTATTTTTAAATTTATACTTAGTATCAAATAAATTAAATTGAAAATGAAATTGGTCAAAACTCGTAAACTGAAATAGGAAGTTAATTTTAGGACAAAGGGAGTGATTGTATTAGGATCAATCAAAGAACAACAATACTCCCTCTGTTAACTAAACACTTCCTCTTCTATTTTTTTCTTTTACCAAAATACTTTCACTTTCTGATACAATTTGATAATAATTGGTCTTATTGAATATTGAAGAATACAATCAATACATCTCTATTTATAGGAATTACAATAAGAAAGGGAATTAAGTATAATATTAATATCGTATTATCAATATTCCAAATATCCCTCGCAAGCTAATCATTGGTAACGAGGAATAACTTGGAGCACATGTACTGGAACTGAGCCAACAGAAGCAGTTTTGTGAGGATAGCCTCTAGAAGTAGAGAGCCAGATCTTTAATTTGTTGCATGATGAACGAGCTAGAAATTACATTTGCTCAGTTTTTTTGTGAGAGTGCTAGCGATTGGAGCGAGGGCGAAGAGTTTCTTTTTTTCTCCTTTTGGACCGTTCTCTACTTCTCCGTCTCTTTCCATTCTCTCGATCTCTAGAAAAAACAGACAAAAATGTAATTTTTCCGTTCTTCGATCATGCATATAATATTTTTGGAAGAGAGAGAGATAATAGATTTTTTTTACAGAGAAAGAGAGATAATGGACAAAGCCGATATGCACGACCGTCGAGACCGGCCAATGATGCCATGCTGTTGGATGATCGACCGCCGTTAACATAGACCGACGATGTGCTCAATCGGAAAAGGAAAGCAAGTTTTTGAGAACCTTGGCTCCGATACTATGATACTATTTGATAATAATAATAATTCTTATTGAATATTGAAAAATACATAGTAGGAGAAGAACTATAGTAAACAATATTTAGGAAAGAATAAATAGGAAAGGGAATTAAATATAATATTAATTTCGTATTGTCTAATATTCCTAATATTTTCTATTAAAAAACCATTTTTACCCCTACTAATCCCTATCCTATATATCACACCATACTTTTCACTAATACAATATACTTATATACCCATTACATCTTATTTTTGTCGGCCATCACATCAAACATAAAATTAGAAAGTCAATTACAAATATACACTTCTTATTTCTCCCCTTAGACAAAATAAAAATTGTTTTTGTGAACGAAAGGATTATTATTTTATCATCACATGTGATGGTGTAAAACCAACGCGAGTACTAAGTCACTAAAAGCGGAAGGGTTGTAGGTGGAAACACATATAACCCGGTTTGTTATTTATAATGTTGGGACTGATTACAAAATACAAGCCGTGTAGATTAATTAGAACATGCTTCACAAATGAGGCTTTTAGTCTTATTTATAATAATCTTTAAGCATGTCAAGCACGTCTTTGTTCACCCGGCCGGTCAGTCCTCAAACCGTCACTTTGTATGCCTTCGCCAGAGGAAGCCATATCTGTGATTTCGAATCTTCTTACACCTGACCGGTCAGACTGACCGGGACATAGGGCTTTGGATTTGATTCCTCCCGATTGGTACGAACTTACCGGGTGGAATCCATGGGTTATTACCCATCAAGGAGTCCTCCGATTTCTGGCTCTGTGGGTATCATCAGGGGCGGGAAGCATATGCGAGCTTCTTTTCAAATTTCGATTCCCCAGGCGGTCTTGGTGGGAGAATGGCACTTATAAACCGGCGCCAAAACAAATATTTTGAATTTTGAATTTCGAAATCCCGGGCGTCAAACGCGAGGGAATCTTTATTGGAATCCGGTACGGCGCCGCAGATTTGTCGCACCGTTTCGTCTTCCTGAGAGGTTATCATTACGAATCATTTCGGCTGCCACGTGTTGCTCCCCCATTTGTCCGGCTGGTCGGCACCTCCCCTATTTAAAGCGAGGTTCCCCACCGAATTTTCTCACTTACAATTTGCTATCTAAAAATCTGCCCGGTTGCTTACACTATCTCTCAAGTCGTCCGAGTCTTCTAATTCCAAGTAAGTCTCCTTTCTCCCTACTCAGTTCTTTGAGTCATGTCTGACCACAAGGATAGCCAAAACCCTTCTGTTCATTCTTACGGTTCTGGTGCCCGGTCTCAGACCTTTAGTTCCTAGTCCTTTTCATCCTCTGAGTGCCCGGTTGCTTCTCCACAAAAGAAGCCAGTTGATGCTTCCACTTGTGCCCCTTCTTCTTCCGCGGCACAAGTGGTCTCGATTGCCCGGTCTATGGACAATGGCTTCATTCTGTTGGATGACTGGTTGCTCTTGGAGCAACCGTTGTACATGCAGAAGGCTCAAGTCCACGAGCTGCGCAACCTGATGCCCGATGGTTACCAGTTGTCCTACCAGGCAACGTGGAAGAATATTATTTCTCTCCACGCTAGTACGGCGATTGCAATCCACTACCATTCCATCAAGGACTTGGGTGAATTCTCCATTCATCCCTTCAAAGTCCTTTTCTTTGAGACATACGAGATCATGCTCGGGCAGTTAGCCCCTAATGGTCACCGTATGCTCAACAGTTTCATCAACGTCTGTTGCTTCCTTTGCATCCCTCTCTCCCTTTGTCTCTTCGACCATATGTTCGATGTCCGGCCCGGGTCCAAGGAAACCCTTGGATTCGTGATTGTGTCCTCTCATTAGGGCCGGGCATTCCTTTCCGGTCTTCCTCCTTCCAACCAGGGTTGGAAGTACAAATATGTTTCAATCAAATTCCCCCCCGGGTGCTTTCCCTTTTGCCCAAAATTCCTGGGGGAAAAGAATGAAAATCCAGGTCAAGCCCAGGGAGACTGATGACCTGGCCGCCTGGGAAGCCACTCTCCGGATCGGGGACACCTCCACCCGTGGTCCTTATAACGTCGGGAAGAGGGGGGTCTACCCGGGTCTGGAGACCGACCCCGAACCTGATATTGTTCTAGGAGAGGCGATCCCAGACGCAATCCCTCTCTACCGCGTGCAAAAGTCCAAAGCCCCGGTCTCTGTCGTTGCCGGTTCTTCGCACCGGGGAAAAAAGAAGGAGAAAGGTCCCTCCCTTAGTTTTCAGAACCGGACCGGTGATCGAACCGGCCAAGAAACTGGTTCACTGGTCGAACCAGTGGTTCACACATATTTAAAAATTATGAATTATATATATATATATATATATATATATATATATATATATATATATATATATATATATCTGTGTGTGTGTGAAAAATATTATGTACTCCCTCCGTCCTATAATGTTCTTCCCGGTTCTGTTTACGAAGTTTGACCGACTTTATTTTTGATTCAATTTATTTGATTGTAGGTGTAAAATTAAAAAATAAAATTTATATATTTAAAAACTACATCAAAAGTTTTACAAAACAAGTGGTGACAAGACTATATTATTTTATCAAATACCTAATGAAAATAGGTATAAAAAAAGTGATTAAAGTTTGACCGTGTGAATAGTAAGTGGGAAGAACATTTCAGGACGGATGGAGTAATTAAAACAATACCTCTTCTATCTATATATAAAGAATTTATGATGTATTATTAAATTTATAATCACTTTAATGTATTCGAGTAGTAGCATTAAATCTTTTTTTAGAAAAAGTAGTAGCATTAAATTGAAAAAAAAATACATTTATGGGTATTTAGAAACATTAAATGTTTATAAAACAAGAGTTGATTTTTTGTTTAGTATTTTACCCAATATTTTCAAAAAATTCAAATGAGTTAATATTTTTGGGATATGTACTTTGTGTTAAGATCAATTGGATTAATAGATAAGAGTTTGAATCACAATTTCAACATTATATTTTTCAAAATTGTAGAGATGAAAAGTAGTCTTTTTAAAATATGTATTTCTTTTAACTTCAGGATATTAAACTAAGTTATGCTAATAGTTAACAAAAAATAAATTAGTATAGATGGTGGCTACCTTGGTTTAGGATTATGGGGTTGTGTGTTCGAAGCCCACGAGTCCAAATCTTTAGGAAAATTTGGACAAAAAAAACTGGTTCGCTGTTTTAACCGGCAGGTTGTTACTGGTTGGTACCGGTTTGAGCCAGTTCGGTGCGTGTAGCGGTCTTCAAGGCTGGACCGGACCGGTTCACCGGTCTCCGGTCAACCACTCACATTGGTTGAGCAGCCGGCCCAATCTCATCAGGGCACCAGCCAACCCATCCACTCTGGGGAGATCTACATAAATGTAGATACCATGGAGTTTGACACACTGCTGATGGAGACCGGCCATACATCAGAGGCCGGTCAGGGTGGTCAGCTGGTGGAGGGAGGTGGCGAAGAGGAAGCCACCGGGGAGGCCCTCTAGAGGAAGAGACGGTGGACTCAGGCTGTAGACTAGTGTGCCCAGTCCTCCGATGCTGGCAAAGGAGGAGGTGAGCCCCGGTCTCTAGAACTGAAGGTCCGGTTGGATGAGGAGCTCTTCCAAGCTTTCTGCGCCGATCTGAATGAGGTAATCCCACCATCTCTCTCATATCTTTTCCACAACATTTTTTAGGATAGTCCTTCTGAAATATTTCCATCCCTTTGAAGCATGTCGGTCGGATCGGCCAGGAGTGGTTCACCCCGTTGGTGAAATCCAAGGATGAGGAGAAGGCCCGGCAAGAGGGCATGATGGTGGCCTGCCGGAAGGAGGCCAAGGCCGCCCATGAGAAGGCGGAGAAAACTAAAGAGAAGCTGCTGAAGCACTGTGCAGCTTTCCGCAAGCTCTACGCCAAACATGAAGGGTTGCTGAAAGCCTCCAAAGAGGCCGATGCTCAAGCTCAGGAGAAGATCCAAGAGCTTGAGGGGGAGAAGGCGCAGCTGTAGGAAGAAGCCGCCCGGTCAGCTCAAGAAATCGCCCAGCTGAAGGCGGAACTTGAAAGGGAGAGAAGCGATCGGGCTGGATATGCTGCAGCCTAGGCAGCCCAAGATCCCGAACAGTTCGCTGCCCGGGCAATTCCTGACAGGGAGGCTGCCATCCGCCTCTTCCAAGGGATATACAAGCATGAGGTCTCAGCCAAGGTCATCGATGAGATCGGGACCTTTGGCTTCGAGAGTGGCCAGTACCAAGAGCGACGGGCTCTTTATGGTATCCTCCAGCGACGCATTCAAGGGTTTGAACCCAAGGCCTTCTCCCTGCCCGAGCTCCATGATGAAGAGCCGGTCGCCCCCTTTGAAGGGATCTGAGCACAAGGCTATTTTTTCTTTTGTTTTGTTTTTGTTTTTTATTTTCTAGAAGTAATGATCTGCCTTTGGGCGCTATGTAAAACACTTCCATGAGAAATGTGATTATGATTTATTTTACATATTTGGTTATTTTGTAGTATTTCTAGTTAGAGTAAATTCTCAAAATAGTCCATTATAATAAGGTGTTTTTCCAAATCAATCCTCAATAAGTTTGAATTACCTACGTGGTCCTCTATAATTGAGATTTATTCATACGTAGTCCTTCGTAAATAATCTTACTCAAATGTAGATTAATTGGAAGGTATTTTGGTATTTTTATCAGGTAAATTTAGAATAAGTTCTTAAAATAATCATTTCTAATGAAATGCTTTCCCAAAATGATTTTTTCTAATTAAAAATGTGTACTTAATTCCAATTTTAAAATATTTTTTATACGTGTTTAGTCGTTCATGAATTATATATAGTCAATGTATTAATTTAATTTTACATTTGATTGTATGAAATTTACCATGTTGAGAATATAATTTAAATTTAGATGATAAAAATACCAAAATACCTTTTAATTAATCATCATTTGAATAACAATATTTACGAAGGACTACTAAAGGAATGTCAATTACAAAGGAGCACGTAGGTAATTAAAACTTATTGAGGACTGAATTAGGAAAATAACATATTGCAAAGAACCATTTTGAGAATTTACTCTTCTAGTTTTAATAAGAATAAAATTATGGTGAAAGTAGAACCACTTTTTGCTTCTTTGCTCTCCTCGTATGTAAAGATGGCAGGGTCTTTGTGATCACCACGACAAATGAAAATACAAAATATTTTCTTATTGTTATTTTTATCATGGTATCAGAATAGATTTTGAATTCTTGAGACCTCACGCATGCATCCTCCAATGTCAGTGGGTATACACAATTCAATGCCTATCGGTGAGATATTTGTTGGAGTTGTGTCTATGGTGTTTTTTATTTCCAAGCCTTGGAAAGGGTCCTCCCAAGTTCCCTCTGGTGGAACTCGATGGGCAACCCTAGGTCAATCCCTTTGGAGAAGACGACTAGGAAGTACTCTTTGTCCCATCCCTTACCTTTTGTGGGATGTTCTTGATAAGAGGTCATTTGGTGTTGGGATAGAGGCTAATGTGAAAGCCTCCCCCAAGGATGAACAAAATCTCAAAATTGAGAAAGGTTGTAGGTTCGCCTTTCTCTTGACATCTGAGGATGAAAGTGAAGGTATAGAGATGGGAATTTGCAATCAATTGCCTGGGGAGGAATATCTAATGATTGCAGTGATCAACGTAGAGGTGATGAAGGGGCACTCGAAATCCAGCCTTTACAAATTTAAAGTGCATAATAAGGTACCAGGGCGGCCCGCTGTTGGCGATGTTGATGTTTTTTGGATAGCGAACCTTGACCCCTTTCCCAAGATCTGTTACATTTTGGCAAGTTCATGCCTCATGATAGTCGTTTGTTCCAGGTGCAAACATTGACCTTTATCATTTCAAGGGCTAAACTGGAAGGAAAGTTTGAAAACAAATTGAAATTGGGGATAAAGAACTGAAGGAATTGAAGTTATTGAACAAGAGAGAAATTCAAATTGGAAGCGTAAAGAAGTGGGTGATGATGAGACTTAATATGCAGAGAGAGCTTTGGGGTCTTGAGGCGTGATGATGAATAAAAACGGAGGAGATGATGATGAAGCTTCCATAGAAGCATTCCACTTAAAAAATATTCATGTGTTCAATGGTCCCATGATGATGCGCCATACAGAGGACTTGGGGTTTATGGTGGAGATTGGGTCCATGTACCTAGTTGGACGAGTGGGCTTGATCGGACCAAGTTATGCGGCATGTGAGAATACAATGAGATGCAGAAGGGGATTGAGCCCGTGAGAATCTTTGAGATTCGGGGAGATTGTGTTGTAATTAGAAACTTAAGGAGTGAGGGGCAAGAACAGGATCCTTTAGTCCCGATTGAATTGGGATCGGGACTCCTAGTAGTATCCCGTGGCAGGTAGGGGTGCATATAAATCAAATAAAATGTATTCGATTCGTGATTCGTATTCGAAAAGAATGATTCGTATTCGCTATATTTGAATTCGAATTCGAATACAAATCATATTTTAGATTCGAATTATTTTTGAATTCGAATACAAATATTAATAGATTCGATTTGTTTATTATTCGAATTATTCGAATATTATAATTTATAAATATATATATATATATATATATATATATATATATATATATATATATATATATATATATATATATATATATATATATATTCTAATATATTAGATATTTGTGTACATATTTAAACATATTTTAATATATTAATTTATTTTGTACATATAAATTTATATATATTCGAATATTATAATTTATAAATAAATTTATATATATTCTAACATATTTTTACTACATTTTTTACTACATTTTACATTATTATAAAATAATAATTTAATGTCTTAAAGAAATCTGTTTTAAAAAAAATACTAATATTTTCGAATTCGAATATTCGAATACGAATTCAAATACGTCAAATATCTATCGAATCAAATACGAATGTTTTTAAAATTCGAATTATATACGAATCCGAATTCGAATACATATCACTTTTATCGAATACGAATCAAATAGTGATATATTTGCTTCGATTCGATTCGTATACACCCCTAATAGTAGGTATATATAGACCCCCTCTGTTAAGGGGGGGATCCAAAATTAATCATTACGGAACATATTGTGAGATTATTATTCTTTAACTTCTTGCTTGGATCTAGAGATCCATCAAAAAATAAATGCCATATTTCTTAAGAAGAATGAATAAAGTGGTACATTCACTCATATTTGGTACGGAGTAGTGCATTGTTTTGAATTTGAGCATGTTTTTACACCTTGATTTTAACTGAATTATAGAGCCTGGTATGAAAACTGAAGTCTAAAATGTGAACACATGAATATTTTTTAAGTGGAATGTAAAGACTAGAGTAAAGTTTAAAGAATAACACTAGGATAACTCTAACATTTTTTGTTGACATAACCTCATTCTTTACACAATGCACCGACAGTTATTGTCTTTGCTTGTTCTTACAAAGCATGGGGTCGTAATGACCTCAAAATGTTGGGATTATTAGCACAACTCGAAACATAAAGTCCCTAGAATATAAGTAATGGAATTATAGAGCTTGTAAAACATGCCCTTAATTGAATGGCAACAAGGATTATTTATCCGTGTCTAATTAATTGAAAAAAGTTGGTCTATTGTGGTCCTAAAGCCTACATATAAAATATAGACCTTCTCTCATGTTTTTCATGGACTCAACAATTGAATCTCTTAATATAGTTAATAAGGATCATAGAAGAATTTTCCAACTGAAGATGGTATACTTATGTTCAGCCACTTTTCTTTTAAGGACTTCACATGTATTGATCTCAAGTGAGTGTTACTCATCTCAGTGCTTTTTCTATCCTCACAGAACATGGTTTCATAAATATGAGCATTTGTCTGTGAGTTCGTCTGTATGAACAAAAAAAGGTGGGACAAGCTTGGGGGTACTTAAGCGTTTCCTTACATTTTTGTTTTAACTTTGCATGGCAAAAAAAATGCAAATTTGCAAGAAGAAAAGAAGTGACAAACCAAAGTATATTACTTATCTCATAAGACCAACCTGCATAAGATTTTACTGTGTCGACAGTCACACTCACACCCGCTCCAAACTGTGTTAGCCTGAAGAAGTAAATGATCATATAATAGGTTAAAATAAGGAACAATTTAGGCAGGCTGGCTTAATTTGAAATCAGCACACACATAACGAAAAGAGTGAATAAATGAAAGGTCTAATGAAGCACACACTTCACACACTTCACACACACACCCATCAAATCAAAATATTACGGAGTATTAATAATGGTCAGCAAGTAATACAATCCAATTATGTCATTGTCAATACAAGCGTCGAAAGAAACTTTTCAGCTAACAAAATTCGTTTGAAGTTCAATTCAGAAAAAGGAAGTGCTAACGTACACATCAATGTTGAAGAGTTAAGTACTACTAAGAGAACCCAAGGCAAGTGCAAAAAGCATGTAGGACAACACTTCAATAGGGGCTGTACAAATGAGAAAGGGAAGTTAGATACTAACACAAAAAAAGGGGGTAGGAATGTTACAATTTACCCACCCAAGTTTTTGACTTCCCAAACTACCAAAAGCTTAGGTTTTTCTTTTCCTTTCTGCAAGATGATGATGATCAATCAAGCAAAGGGTGATTCAGATAGAAACTTCTTCAGTGCCTCGTATGTCATGAAAACAATCCCCACACCAGGAACAACTTTGTAGTACTCGGGCATAATCCCTCTATAAAACCCACGAAAACCTTCAGTTCGAACGATGTGCCTAAATGCCCCAACAAGGCCTGTGTTGTATACACGTGCTCGACCACCAGCTCCTTCCAACTGCATTCTTCGCCTCACAAGGTCCAAAGGGAATGTAGCTATAGAAAGGAAAGGAATCACACTAAATTTAGCACTTGAATTACAAACCTATTCGTTAGAGGCGTGGAAGAAATTATAATTCTAAAAGAATTACCAGTAGATGATGCAATTCCTGAAAGACTTCCACAAGTAAGACTAATCATAAGATTGGGATCATCAGGCCTAGGAGAGAAGTTAGTCAAAACCATGATCAGCAGTAAGAAAATAGGATTGGAATAGTTTGAGGAGGTGATAGCTAAAGAACTAAACCCCACACACTCACCTGTGAGCTAACCAATGAGATCTCAAAGATTCATAAACAGAGAAGCTTATCGCTATACTAGGCCCAACACTCTGTATTCAGCAAAACAGAAGTGGTTATTTTTTAATCATAATTCAACAATTAACAAACAACATCAACAACCCAGTTAGATCCCACAAAAGTAGGGTCTGGAGACCCTACTCGAAAGTAGAGAGGCTGTTTCAAAGATACCCCTGGCTCAAGCTGCACATATAGAAGGATTACAGTATATACGTAAAGCAGAGAAAGCACAGATACAACACAGAGAAAGCACCAAGCACCCAGAGTAAAAATAACAAACTGAAGTTAATGATCAATAATAAATAAATTTATAAAAAATAAAGCTAGTTCACAAATCCATAGGTGTGTACCAATAATGTTGCTCCAAGTCCTTTATACAGCCCAAAAAAACCTTCATCCCTGCAAATGGTGCTGATGGCATGGGAAATGCCTTGATAATACATCGTACTTCTCTACAAAGTAATGAGAAAATTATAGTTAAACCAAATGGCAGTGCCAAACATACACAGAGAAACCAAAAATAATTTATAGCATCCCTGCTTGATGTTTTCATGTAAGCCAGTCATATACAAATAAATCCTTTTAGCCACACTGTAACTCAATAATTTCCACATGTCTTTATAGGATTCAGGATATGATGAAAATGCAAGGTTGTCAATATAATAAAACACTCCACTCATTTTATTATATTTACGGTGAGACCAAATCCACCCCTAAATGGCTAAATCAACTCCCTTCACCCAAATTTGATAAATCCACTCCCTAAATGTCAAATTTCTACATTAAATGAGTGGGAATGGATTTAGCAAATACTGGTGAGGAGAGTGGATTTAGCCAATTTAAGTGTGGATTTAGTCTCACCATTTATTTATCATGATTCTGTGATACTCCCATGAAAAAAGTGGGATTTCCACATGCACGTCTAAAACAAAAGAACAAGTACACAAACAATAATTCTAGACCTTATAATTATACCTGTGCTGCCAACCTTGTCCTGACAAGATCCAAAGGGTAGGTGGCAGAAGTAGCTGTCATCCCAGCTAAACCACCACCTACAAAATGCACAAATAGATCTGTACTAGCATTTCTCTTATTACTACCATAGAGGCCTGGAATAGATTTAAGAATCTACAAAATGGAATAACTTTGTTATGTCAAAAAGAGATATTGAATTAACTATGTATCACAATACTTGTACAAATATGTCATGCTTACTCACTTTCTTATACTGTTCATAAGCATAAAAATTGACTGATGAATATGGAAGTCTATGAGCAATAGTGACAAGGTTTCCCTTCCAAAAAGCTCTGAACCCTTCTTCATTAACAATGCGCAAAGCCTCATGGAATATACTTGGTCTACTTAACACTGCCACATCAGAGTGCATGCCTTGGACCTAATTTTTCATAATTTAAAGAAAGAACACAACAAATTGAGATAGGAGCAACGTTAAAGACCCTATAGTCCACTATTAACTATTCAAACAAACGACTACTTGTGAACAAATTAACTACACACCCAAGTCTTGTTATGGAAATAGAGGAATAAGAATATGATATTAGGATCACATTGAAAAGAAGAATCAAATGAATTTACTAGTCATAGCCTATTTAGAGAAAAAAAATTGTATGTTCTACAAAAAAACCCAGATTTCAGCCACTTCCAAAAACAATTGTATCTATGAATCTAATGGAACAATGAATTGGAAAAGAATAAGCAAAAATAAACCTTTTTTGCAGCTTATGCAGAGGGAGAGGAGTTAGGCGTTAACTACAAACCTGAAATAGAATGGTGAGGCGAGCAAGGGGGGCAGTACAGGTCTTGCTGAACGCTCCGGCTATGCCACCCGCAAGAAGCTGCGACACAGTCCCGATTTGCGCCTGCGAATTCTGAAGCTGCTGTTGCGTGTGGTATTGATGGTGTTTCAGACGCTGGTGGTGGTGCTGCGGCAGGAACGAACCGGCTCCTCCGTCTACCACGCTGCCGCCTCGACCAGGCACCCCCACTCTGGCATCCATTCCTTTTTCTCTTCAATTTTTATGGATACTACGGAGAAACTTCACATTTGATTCAATAGATTGTACTTTCGTGGCTGTGGGCGGTGAGATAAACCCTAAGGTTTTTCTTTTTCTTTGATTTTTTCGTGGGATGAGGTAAGAAAAAACAAAAGAAAATACTATGGCTACACCTCGGGTAGCCCTAACATCTCCCAAAAACAAAAGATATTAGACTTATTTGGTTCCGCAGTTTGTTACTCCTATTTATTCTTTTAAAAATTGAGGAATTTACCTAAATAGCACTAAAACATAATGGCCCCGTTTGGTATCAGCGTCAGAGATTAGCGTTAGTGTTTTGAAAAAGCAATTCGACGGTAGCCTTTAGCGTTAGCGTTTTCAGAATTAATCTGCACCGTTAAAATTTTATCCAAAACGCTAATGCTAATCGAAAACGCTGTTACCAAACAAAGCCAATGACTTAGAATACATTTGATCACATTTAATCAAATTTAATTAGATAAGATTGAACCAGATTCAATTAGATCATATCAAAATTAATTAAATAATACTCCCTCTGTTCCAAATTATAATGCATGTTTACTATTCACAGGGTCAAACTTCATTCACTTTCTTTCCCTATTTTCGTTAGCAATTTGATAAAATAAAATATTATTGTCACTACTAGTTTTGTAGATCTTTTGATGTAGTTTTTTAATATGTAATTTTTATTTTTTAATTCTATACCATTTGTCATATAAAATGATTTGAAAATAATTTCAGTCAAACACCGTAAACCGAAACAGGCGTTATAAAATTGGACGGAGGTAGTATTATTTTAAATTAAATAAAACAAACCTAGAAAATGTTGAAAAATAGTCCTAAAACTTTTTCTTTTTTATTACTTGATCTATTCCAAAAAAGAACTCGCAGTTACTATTCACAAGTCAAACTAGCTCTACCTTATTTATATATTTTCATCGCTTTTTGATAAAATAAAAAAATTTTGTCACCACTTTTTTGTAGAACTTTTGATGTAGTTTTTTAATATATAATTTTTATTTTTTAATTCCATACCAATTCTTACTTATATTGATTTGAAAATAGTTTCAGTCACACATTGTAAATCAAACGAGAGCCTTATTTTGGGGCGGAGGGAGTATTACATAATAATTAGTACAACTCTCTTCTTTTGACAACAATATTTATTGTCATATTGTGACAACAGTGGCCTACGATTCTCTACTCGAAAAAATGAAGGTTCCTACTCCCTCCCTCCCCCTTTAAACCCCACTTGTAGCCAATCGGCGATTTAGGATGGAGGCAAGGGGTGGTGCTAGGGTGGAGAGCAGGGAGAGAGGCTGGGGTTTAGGGGTAGGAGTCATCAATATTTCGAATGGAGCACCACAAATCATTGTTGACATTATATGACAACAAGGTTTGTTGTCAAAAGAAGCCAACTGTAATGTATATGATAAATTTATGGTACATTATTTAATGTTGCATATAATCTATTAGTCATTATTATTATTACTATTATTATTATTATTATAAGGTTATATAGATTTAAATAATAAAAATAATAATGTTATATCCATAAAATTCGTCCGCTTCTGCTCCCGGAAGCGACTTGGAATGTACTCTTTCTTGAAAGCCTAGTCGAAATAGGCCCACGTCCACCGCTTCGGTGTTTGTGGCTCGCTGTTAGTGCGCTTCCACCATTCGTATACCCCTTTTTGGAGCATTTGGGATGCTAGCTTCAGGTGATCTTCTACCGGTACGTTCAAATCATTCAGCACCCTAGCCACTTGATTGATCCAGTCGAGTGCCACCTGGATTCAACCACTCAACCTCCAAGAAACTCTTCAGCTCTGTTATCCTTTAGGGTTTTGAATGTGATCTGTCACTGCGGCGGTGGAGGCAGTTGAAACATCAATGTGTTTGTCATCTGTTGTAGTAATTGGGCCATGAAGGCAGGCATGGCAGCCTCGGGCTGGTTCCCGATGTTCTGGTTGTTTTCGGTGTTCAACCGTGCGTTAGGTTGTCCTGTGTTTTGCTCAGGCACAAAGCTAGATGCCTCCGTTTTAGCGTCAGCGTGCTCGTCGCCTTGCTACTGGGTGTTGTCGTGAGCGTGTGTCGATACGTCACTCAATCTAGATTGCACACATAAGTTCCTAATAAGTCAATAACACATAAAAGACATAGCTATAAACTTATTACCTTCCGAGGGCTGATGAGTCGCAAGAGATGTGGTGTAGCCTTTTTGGAAACCATTTGTTTATGATCCGAAGATCGGTTTTAAAACCATATGCTCCGATACTAAAATGTAACACCCCAACTCGCATAACCCGAATACTTGGATTAGCGAACCAGGTTGCGACTAGATTGGTACCCAAACACGACTTAATTTTCAAAACAATTCAAATAAACATTTTAAAACATAGTTTAACATTCATCCGAGTAATATTCTAAATCAATGAGGAAGCTTGATTCATAATTCATAACATAACTTGGAACGAATGCATGTAACATTAATAAATTAATTCAAATAATAAGTAATAGTTCAAAATTGTCAAACACCACCACACACATCTCAGCCTCCTCATTGCCCTCCGGGATTGGCTCCAAGTTCCTTCTTCCCTGGGTTACCTACGTGCAGCAAAGGAACAAACGCTACACGCTCTGCATTGAAGCTAAATGAGAATTATCTAACATACAACTATACCCATATATGACCCCACTAGCCCATATCATCATACGATATCATGCACGCAACATGCTTAGCAACAATAACAGTATACAAGATATAACATACATAATCACATCATAACAATTCATAAGCTACAAACAAAAATGATAAAAGCATTAGGTACTTTCCTTTTTATTTTACTTTACTTTCTTTATTGTACTTGGCTCTTAACCTTTAACACCTTAATCCGTCCAGGTCTGTAGCCCCTTTCGAACTAAAGTATTAACTTGGTAATCGTAAAAATTTAAAACATTTCTAACACTTTTAATTATCATAATACAGTAATATTTTTCATAACATAAACAGTATGGAGTTTTCAATATTGCGGAAGCTTAACAAATCATAATCACAAACATAATTTATTTATATTATTCAATTCAAAACCATCACATTCATTCCGACAATCTTGCCTCTGTCTGCCTCCAGGTTCACGTCACATCATTCTTTCTATTAACCTGTGTGTAACAAATACAACATACTACAAGCTCAGCGTTGAAGCTGAGTAAGCATATCTAATGCATCGAACATCCATATAAACTGAATCTCAATTCATAATCAAATCATTTGATATCATGCACATAAGGTTCAGTTTAGATATTCAATAATCAATATTCAGTATTCATCATAACATTAATATTCATATTTCATATTCAACATTCAGCAGTCATTTATAATATTCACAATATTCAATTCAAGTCGTTTCATGATATATAGAACATTCCACATTCAGTATTTCAACGGTGCTCTTAAACTATCCTTAATCTAAGGCACTAATTTTAACCAACTCTTAAACGAATTCTAGTATAAGGTTTTTAAACTATATTCCAGTTTAGGTACTCCTAAACAACCCTTAAGCTAGGCCTAGTTTAAGATACAATTTTCAAAAGGGGTTTTCAAAATCTTAAACTTACCTTCGCTTAAGGTCAACCAGGAACCGAACAGTGGAATGTTCACTGTCGGGTGGGTGGTACCCCCAAACGAGTAGGTACTCAAGTTTGGTTCTTGGATCCCTTATGTACATTTTAACCCTGGCCATTGGGCATCATACCCGCAAGGCCTAACTTAAATGAGTATATCTTAGAGTTCTTCTAGATACCCTTCAAAATCAACATCACTATGGGTATATCTTAGAGTTATTCTAGATACCCTTGAAATCAATATTAATTAACTAAAATGATCATTTGGGTATATCTTAGAGTTATTCTAGATACCCTTCAAATTACCATTAATATGGGTATATCTTAGACTTATTCTAGACACCCCTAACAATACATATTATTTTCACAATCATCAATATATTCATTATGATTTAATCATTCATAATTATCATTTTAATAAAAATATTCATCAAAGTTTAATCATCATAATCATCTATCAATAATCATCATCATAACCATCAATTAGTAATAATCATCACAATATTCAATAAGAAATAGCGGCCTAGCTTAGGCTTCAAGTGGTAACACCTTAGCTTACCGTCATGCATCATATAAGATTTTATTAGTCAAAAACATTATTTTTATTATGAAAAATCATCATTATATTGATCATAATTGATTGGTATCAAAAATAGAATTTTAGAGCTCAAAAATAGCATTTTCAAAAATATTTTCGGAGCAAAACTTCAGGGGATCGATCCAGCACCTTAGATCGATCCAAACTAGAAGAAAAACTCCCAAGGGATCGATTCAAGCCCTTGGATCGATCCTCTGTGCTATTTTTTTACTAGTATTTAACCCGGGCAACGCACGGGATTGAATAAATTTTTGTCGATTCTGAATTTATTTTTAGTATAGTATTTTTCTGAAATAAAGAAAGTATATTTCTCACACGATTTTTAATACTATAGACAATAGAGCCAAAGTAGAATTAGGAATATTTCAGGATTAAAAGTGTACATGACAAAATTTTTATTTAATCCATTTTTTTTGAAAGACTTCAAGGTATAGAACAATTCTGGTATGGTTATAAGAATTTTATTGTTATTTAGAACTATTAAAAATAGATCATAATTGATTGGTATCAAAAATAGAATTTTAGAGCTCAAAAATAGCATTTTCGAAAATATTTTCGGAGCAAAACTTCAGGGGATCGATCCAGCACCTTGGATCGATCCAAACTAGAAGAAAAACTCCCAAGGGATCGATTCAAGCCCTTGGATCGATCCTCTGTGCTATTTTTTTATTTCACTGTTCATCATCTTCTTTGTTCGGCCATTTTTCTCCAACTCCATTTTTTGTCACCAAACTTTAATTAAATTATGTAGAAAGGTTCTCCAAGGTTCATAGATCATTTTGGTATCATTAATTCGTAGTTTTAATAATAATTTCATGGTTTATGATCCTTGGTTCTTCAAACATGTCAAACACAAACTCAACCAAACGACCGTTTATGAACATAGAAACGAACTATACGAACATTTTAGTTATTAGATATATCTACGAGCTTACCTTGAAGATTATCGAAGGTTTTTGAAATTTTCATGCGACATTTGTGGCTAGCTCCGGCGACATCACACCAAATTGACAGCACCATTGCATTCTCCACACTGAGAGGAACATAATGAAAGAAGAAGTAGAGAGAATGGTGAAGAAATGAGAAGGTTGAGGTGTGATTATATAGTTCTTGTGATGAAGAAGAAAACAATGGTTTCCTGTTCTCCTTCGTCATTCACGATCGTGGGAGAGCGGCTCATTATTCTTACAAATCTTCCCTGATTGGGATCAATTTTGATGCCAGTCGGGGTAAAATTTTTAGTCAGACTTTCTCCGAATTGAAATCTGTTTGCACCATTGCGATCGGACAATTAAACTCTATCCAATGATATATTTTTATATTTATTTGTAATACTATTTCTGACATCATATTTTTGGATGTTTGACTTTGACAAAGCCAAAATTGATTTAATTGACTTTAATTCAAAAAGGTTCTTACATTTAATTCATATTATTTATTCTCATGATTTATTTCAATAAATCATTTCAAAGTTCACATCATAACAATTTCTTCTTTTATTCTTGATTTGGGTCTGTACTCAGGTTCCCAATCAAAGTCACACAATAAGTCACCATATTAGATTTATCTTTATTAGATTTATCCAGATTGTGATATTGGATATCAAAACATATTTCATTTTGGCCCAAAGCCTAACAATAATTTATTTTAGTCTAAACAATTTGTTTAATTGAATATTTAATTCAATAATACTTTTAGGGTATGTTTCATGCCATTACATAACCTATGTTGGGTTAAAGCTTAACTGAATTCGACTTGCCTATGGGAGTCATGACCTTCCCCTTCAAAAAGAAGGTCATGCTCAAATCAACTCGGAGTTCCTCGTTGGGTGGGTGAGATCCATGTCCCCTTTGAAACGAAAGTTCGTAGATCCCCGTGCGCACGTTTTTACCCGAACATCCATTGGACCCAGCAGGTACCATATGACTCTAACTATCTAACTTACGACATACCTTGCCACTACTCCGTTAAGGTCTATCCCCAGAGTTCTTCTAGGTGATTCAATCATTATCCATTAACAATTCATGATACAGAGTTCATACATCAATCGAGCATCAACAACATATTCAAAATAACCAAACAACGGCCTGACACTTGGTACTGACACCCATGTTTACTGTCATGCAACATACAAAGTCTCAGAATTGATCTTTGATGAAAACATAAAATTCGTATTGGTTCAGGTACCTCACGGTACCCTTAACGGTAGGGGGTAGCAACCCCACGGTACCAGGGTACCGTCCGTATCAGCTGAAACTCCCATGCGGTAGGCTTGTTACGACAGCCTCTACCGACCCGGCGGTGGGGCCTACCGCCCCTCGGTACACAGGTATCGTTTGGTGACAGGTACCGACAAAGGAAAGGAAAAACGAGGCAGGTGGCGGTAGCCAGGTACTGTGCCAATGGCACCAGACTACCGTTTTTCATGCTGAAACTCGACTCTACACCAGCTTCATTTTTCCACATTAAACCAACATCAAACTCGAAATTGCAGGCATCAACGGGTTCTAAATTTATATTCAAACATTATCTAACATGCTCATAAACATATCTAATCCAATTCATGCTTCTCAAACTGTAAACAACGTTTACAAGGCATAATTCACGTAGGGTTCACGTAGTTCAATCGTAACGACTCTACGAATGTAACCATCTGTTTGATGTCCACATACTCGCCTCGAATTCAATGATTAGAAAGCTATGGGAGCGGCACGACCTTCCTCTTCTTCTTTTTCTTCTTGCTTATCTTTTCTTTTCTTTTCTTCTTCCTTTTTCTCCTGCTGCTGTTTTCGCTGTTGTCCTTGGTCGAACGAAAAGAACGAGAGAGAGGGGTGGGTTGTGAGGCAAGGGAGTTTATGTAAAATAAGGTGGCGTAAAAGGGTTTAGGCATGTATGGAGTATATTTATAGGTGTGGGGTTTTGGGCTTCGTATTAACTTAACTAACCTGGCCCAAAATGTTTTTTTCGGGCCCACGGGCTCCAAATCTGAATCCAGTTGCACCGTTGGATTTGTTCTGTTGAATCCTACACAACAATATAAACCTTTTTATCAAACGAAGAATATTTCATAATTCCACCGAGTCCGTTTAAATAATTAACTATTTTAAATTAATTAATTTCAATAGGTCGGGTTTTGGGGCGTTACAGTAGCAAAACTAAGTTCCGAATTGCTTAAGACACTTGTTTGCAATCGAAATTGGTTGTTAGCCCAAAGTCGATGTCAAGAAGCGGGTTACACTATTGATCAATAACACTTCATGGAAGCTACAACAACGGAGGGAAGTGGCGAAAGCTCCGATTAATATATTTCATCCAATTGTTTTCATGTTATTATTAATTAGAAATATGATTGTAAATTCAATTTCAAATTCAAGTAAACATTTAAATTCAAAGGTATCAAATTTCAAGCTATCAACTTAGATATTTAATATATTTAAGATTTAAGGTATCAAAAATTAATTTCCAACTTTTTCTAACTCCTTTAACCTCTTTCCAATTCTTTCCAACTCCTAATTTTTTCTAACAACGACTTCAAAAATGTATTTATATATGATAAATATAAAATAACATTATATATCCAAATTTATAACATACCCGACCAAAGACAAACAATGATGAATTCTTTTTTATCTAAAATTATAATTTTCTTAGAAATATATTTGGATGATCATTTAATTGAGTGTCTTTTTAACGTTAAAATTCTTCTAACATTTTCTAATTGCCTCCACCATTTTTTAACTTCTTCCAATTTCTTCCAACTCCTTTCAGTTCTTCAAATATTCAACTCTAAAATTTCAACCCAAATGAACAAGTCTAACTTGAGCTTCTCTTTAGAAAATTGGGCCGGTTAACTATGCAGCCCCAATCTACATTTGGACCAACGCCCCAACCCTAAAGTGCTCTTCCTAGAATAATTATAATACGACATAGCATTCAGTTGGTTCCGCCCCCTTGAGACTCGACTCACACAATTCAGTCCCTTCTTTCACTCGTTTTCCACAGGTATTTCTTTTTCTAAACACTCGGTCTTATATGCTTCAACTTTCGGACCTATCAAATAGCCTCAAATGAAAGTAAATTGTGCATTGTTTCTTTTTAATCCATACATGAAGCACAATTACTCTAAGTTTTTTATCATTAATGAAGTTTTATACTCCGTATATATGTTCAAAATGTTCACATCTGAAAGCACTGCACTTATATATTTTCATAGACGTGTATGACACACTCACTCTAAAGTTTTTGCTTTGTTTTTATGAGTATTTTATTTTTTAAAAAATTATTTTAATGTTTTTATAAAAAAGTTTCTTTGTGTACTTTTATAACCAAAAATAATAAAAAATGGCAGTAATTTTTATTTTTTAGTACTCCGTTTTATTTATTACATTTTAAAGTATGCATTTTATCATATTTTTGTTACGGAGTATTACATAACCACAAGAGTATTATGCAGGAATGCTGGTATGAAAAATTAGACATCTTAAAGACAATCTATATAGTGAGCATGAGTTGTTTTCACATGTTTATTATTTTGGTGGTGATAAATAGCAAAGAAAACATTAAATTTGTTATTCTGAACCAAAAAAGATCTAATTTTTGTTGTAGTTAGGCCAAACTGCAACTTTACCTTGTATAAAAAAGACTTAAGATTCAAAATTATACAGAGTACAAGATAGAGCCCATTTAACTATTTGCCATCTCACTCTGAGACTGCAATTTGCACTAGTGAATAAACTCTTTCATGTATGTAGTTACAAAGGAAAAGATTATGAAATTAACCAGAATATTATTGTGGGTGAACTTGCAGTTTTTTTTGAAATAATACTGTTATATGGAACTGATTTTGATGCTAATATTCCATTCTATTTATTTATTATACAGGCCATCAGTCTCTGAATAAACCTAATTGTCTACAGTGATAGTACCATTTCTTGAGATCATATTTTGATTTGTGTTGCTTGATGATTATATTTTGCTCCACAGATATGTATTATCTAATATCTATGCATGTATGTATAGGCCACAGAAAGTGTGAACCCTAAAGCGTACCCACTGGCTAATGCGCAACTCACCATAACAATTCTGGATTTGGTTCAGCAAGCTGCCAACTTTAAGCAGCTCAAAAAGGGTGCAAATGAAGGTTGTTTTTTAATTTCAATACCTACATTTATGTTTGTTTTTGCTCTTGTTTGACATAAATGTGTTCTAACCTGTTTCAGCGACAAAGACATTAAACAGGGGAATTTCTGAGTTTGTTGTCATGGCTGCTGATGCCGAGCCACTCGAAATTCTTCTTCACCTTCCGCTACTAGCCGAAGATAAGGTAATAATTTCAGCTTCTCTCTTCTCTTAGCCAGAACATTATACTCTTGTCTTTAATTTTAGGTTGTGCTCTCGTGGGTTATAGTTGAATTTGAGTATCTCTGGTCTGCTATGTGATGTTGAAGTTCCCCATTATGAGAAAATATATTTCATATTGAATGTGAACTACAAAGCTTAAATTGGATATCATATCAATCATCCAGTAGCACCAAGGTTTTAAGGGTGCAATGTTGTGTGGTATTTTAACACGGGACTCAAACTATTTATTCACTCACTCATGAATCATTACATTGAGTGTTTTCTCATGAGGAAGCAATTTCTATGACTGAAACACTCCAACAAATTTAAACCCAAACCCTCATTTATTCAGATAGTGGTAGTATTTCCATGTCCATTAAACAAAGCGATACAAGAAGTGGAGTGTACATTTGTAGTACATAGTATTTATTGTGCCTTTTGTGTTTAAGTGATTTTACTTCAAAAATAACATGCATTGGGTAATGGGTATAATTACAAAGCTATTTTATTTTGATTACAACCTTTTCTTATCTGTATCGTGTGCCTTGCTCTCAGAATGTTCCCTATGTGTTTGCTTCCGCTTTTTAAAGGGTAATTGATATTAGTAAAAAAATGAACTTACTGGATTCTTTTTTTGGTGGCAGATTCTTAAGGTTTTCTTGAGCTTTTTCCACATTACATACATCAACAAGCGTTTGAGTAGATGAAACATTTCTACTATCTGCTAGCTTGTTCATTCCCATATAAAAACGCTAATCACAAATAAGACATGTCATTACATAATCATATCATCTGATAATTTATGATGCATAATTGGAAATATATTGTTGCATACCTTTTCATTTGCTTGATCGACACCACTTGATGGGAAACTAGTCAAAGTTTTTGGTTGTTGGAAAAGAGCAGATGAAGTACCACTATTCTTGGGAACTGACTGAGAATCATGAGATTCCTCATGTTGTTCACCCACTGTTACCTTTTTAGTGGTTGATGACTTCAACATGCATGAAATATAAATATAAATTACGACTACCATACATAAGTTTAGTGTCATTTTTCATATTACTGAAGTAAGCATTTAAGAGGTTCAAAAACATACCGGAAACTGTATGGTCGCAACTTGTTGTAAACCGTTTTTCACTTTGTTGTTTTGCTTTTTTAAGATAGCATATCTTTCTAATTGGCAACCTTAAAACTCACATATATACTTATAAAGCGTCAATAATAAATATATTTAATTTCCCATACATATATACCTAAGTCATTTGGGATGAAAAATGAGTACCACACCTAATACTTGTAAATCATGTTTTGAACCATGATTAGTGTTTGCACGGTCATTTGATCCATCATGATAACAACCTCTGGTAGGTGGTGACTTGCTATATGAATCATGGTGATGGATGTCTTATGCCCTAATCCTAAATAGGCATTAAAATCACCATGTCCAAAATTAGTACTTTTTGTTGGTTGCGAGAGAGCAAATGAAACACTACCCCCAGCACCTACCACCATGGTTGCTGTTTGCTTTCATAGTTCACCTTGCACTTTCTTGCCTTGTTTTGTTGACATAGTATCTCTTTCTAAAACCCACATACAAAGCATATTTAAAAACATGGTACACCTTTAATAATATACACACTTAATTGTACATATGTACAGACCAGCATTTGAAAGAGTTGAATCATGTTTTAAATCGTGATTAGTAGGAGCATCGTCCTTTATTACCGATGTATCATGTTTGAGTGATGCATGTGTAACACCCCAACTCGCGTAACCCGAACCAACGAGTTAGTAGAAGTTTTAGAGTAATTAATTCGAAATACAACTGGGGTTCTTGCCCTTAAAAACATATTGAATGTAATATTTAAATGATTAAATCGCTCCAGCAAGCATTCATCCACCTCTCTGCCCTCTAAGATTATTTTCTTATTCAACATTCATGTTACCTACGTGTAGCAAATAGGAAAAAGGACTACACGCTCAGCATTGAAGTGAAGCGAGAAATATCTAATGTTTTGACTACGCACATAGATGAACTCACTATATAGTTCATAAATTCATACAATATCATGCACATAAGTCCACATTAATAACATCATTAATATTAGATAATTCATCAATCAAACATAATTACCTGGATTACCAATTTACCTCATTCTTAACTTAGGCATTAATGACACATAATCCTTATGGAAATCTCATAATCAACTTCCTTATTTCTAAGCTCATAACTTAACCTAGGCTAAGGATGGCCACTTCCTCATTCTAGAGTCATGATTCAACCACATCCATGAGTAGGTGGGACCACCTACTCATATCCATGAGTAGGTCTACGACCCTCGTGTGCACGCTTTATCCAACTGATCATGTGTGCACGCCGGCTCATCACATGACCGGTTATTCCTAATTGTATTCTTATTCTGTTTTCTCGGTCTACCTACAGTTTAACTAGGTAGCCTATCCGTATTCAAATTCATAATTTCATACAGTATTTCCAAATTCATACGAGATCACAACAGATTAAATAAGCATTCATACTCAACAATTAGCGGCCTAGGGTCTGGTGTACACACCGTTCACTTACCGTCATGCAACATACAAGATCAACCCAATTCCAAATCATTCAATACATATTATGTTTTAAAGATTATTATCATGAAAATTACACAAATTGGAAGTAAGAAAACGTACCGGATTGCTATTGTTCAAACAATCCCAATAATATCATATAATATAACAAATCATAATTCAATTATAATCAAATAAACCACATAATCAATCATACGAAAATACAAACCTGAATTTCAAATCTATATGAATAATCTAGCGTTAGATGTCCACGCACTCACCTCAATGATTGACAAATCAACAAATTAAATGGACAAAGAAGATGAAACAACGGCAGCGGTCCGTTTCCCAACAAATACGAACATCGGCGGATCGGCGGTTTCCTCTTCGGCTCTGCTCTTCGTTCTCGTGACCGCAGACTAGCACTCCGTATCTAATTCTAATACTTCCCAACTCATGTGCAGGTATGTATGTAATATAGAGGAGGGAATTTTAGGCTAAGATTTCATATTCTCGTATGGAGTAGGTAGGTTGTTGTTATTGTTATTATTATTTTATTATTTTAAATCTTTATATTTACTTATTGAACTCTAAATTCTATTTTACTCACCACGCTTTACTTATATGTCCAAATTTTACATGTTAGCCTTGGTTGGCTAAACCTCATGTTTTGATGTTAACAAACAATATAAGAGCTTAACGTTTGTTTAAGTGTTTTAGGTAAAACAAGAATCCATTAAGATTCGATACTCAAGAATGAAGTCGAAACACTAAACTAGCGTAGAATATAGGTAGAAACCGATGTAAGGATATGACTTTATAAAGATATATTCACAAGCTCAAAAGCACTCACAAAATATGTTTAAAACCATCCCATAAACATTTTCAAACATCTAAAAGGTTTTAAACTCAAATGGTAGGGTATACCGCCTACACGGTACCCCCATACCGTGTAACGGTACCTAGGTACTGGACGGTAGGCGTAGACGGTTGGCCCAACCCGTCCTAACCAGGTACCGCCAGAGCCAAATGGATTTTTGGTGTTACACGGTACCGAGGTACCGGCACTCACAGTACCCCCCTACCGTACGCACGGTACCATGCTACCGTGACCGTTGGGTTACTGTTCCTGATTTGTGATTTTGAATTAACTCAACCCTAATCACCTCCCAACGAGTAATTAACATATTCCACTATAAATACAAGCCTAATCCTTCATATTTCTTCAAGAAACAAAGCTCTAAACATCCTCTCTTTTTATTCTAAGTGTGTTCATCCTTTTATTAATTATTTTCAATATTTTGGCTATTTTAAGAGCCTTAAATTCCTGATTTTTATACACACACTTTGAGCTTGTGTTTCTAGTTATATACTCTCATATTCATAAGTTTGAATTGTATTTTTGAGAGAGTATACTTTCCTTCTACACCGGCTAAGTTTTGTTCTTCATTTTTATATTCAAGCCGTTGTGTAGAACTCTTGTTTGTGTTCTTCAAACACATCTTTTTACGGTCGAGAATAGCCGTTAAATTCTCATATTGTATCGGTCGAGGATAGCCGTTTAAATCCTTGGGTAAAGGTTCAAGGATAGCCTTTGAAATCCTTGGGGGAGCGGTAGAAGATAGCCATTAAATC